TTTAAGGTACCCCCCCCCCTCAGGCCCCCCCCCTCAGGTTCTTTTTAAGGGGCCCCCGATATTTTACGGTTTATGGGGTTTAGGTTTTAGGGTTTAGGTTTTAGGATTTAGGGTTTATAGGGTTTGGGACCCTTCTGCTGCGTGCTGCGTGGCTTCAGGCTTTTCGTGCTTCTTTTACGGCGTTTAGACATGGGCGCTCCCTTTTCAAAAAGCCTTACTCGGAGGCCCAGGGGACTTAGAATTATAACCCTACTTATAACCGACTTACTAAGTCCCATGGTCCTCCAAGTATGAGCCTTTTACCCAGAGGGTCCATATACACTACTATTATGGAACTAGGTCCCCAAAACCATAATAGGGATGGTCTTTTAAGGCCTAATTCCATAATGGTAGTATATATGGACCCTCTGGGTTAGAAGTTTGAAGCCAAAATTAGAGGCTGTAGGGTATATCGGGTATATGAGGGTGCTCGCTCGGCGCTGGCAGGGCTTTGTGAAGGTTTTAAGAAGACCGTATGAGTATATACTTAACACTATACATCCTAAACCGCGAACCAAAGTTGTTAACCACCAATGCCCTAGATCGTAAAACGCTCAACCCTTTTCAACCCTAAACCGTGAACCTCAGTTGTTAACCCCCAAGCCCGAATTTTCACTCACATACACTGAACCCTTCTCAACCCCAGGCCGTAAACCACAAACCCAAATAGATAAACCCTAAAAACCTAAACCCTAAACCCTAAACCCTCAACCCTAAACCCTAAACCCTCAATCCTAAACCCTAAACCCTAAACCCTCAATCCTAAACCCTAAACCCTCAACCCAAATAGATCTCTTCTGGCAACCTAAACGAAACCCAATTTCAGACACAAGCGCAAAAAAGAACCCTCAAACGGAACGCTGCCAAAAGAACCCTAAACCTAAATCCATGCTAGTAAAACACCTTATAGCGGAACTATGTAGACAACCGATGCTGATACCACTGGGCTTTACAGCCCCAAACCCCAAACCCTAAACCCCAGACTCTAAATCCCTAAACCCTAAACCCTAACCCCCCAGACCCTTAACCCCTAAACCCCTAAACCCTAAACCCCTAGACCCCTAAACCGTCTTCGCCAGGCAGCCGCAGCCCCTAGGCCGAGAGGCGAATCTACAGCGCCAAGGAGTGGCCGCAGTGCCCAGGCACCTCGGGTTTTTGGATTTAGAGTTACCCTAAGCGTCCAATTACCTAATAATCAGATACTCTCCCAAATACTAACCTACAAAACTACTATCCCTAAACCCCAAGTACCTATAATTATTGGGTGCTTTGGACCCTTAGGGTTATAGGTTTAGGGTTTAGGGGTTTAGGGTTGTAGGTTTAGCGCTAGGTATAAAGGGGTTTAGGGTCGTGGGTTTAGGGTTCATTAGGGGTATAGGGCTTAGGGTTAAGGGTCTAAGGTATACCTTAAGAACCCAAAACCTACTTTTTTGTAGGGTCCCTATAAACCCAATATTAGGGTTTATAATAAGAACCTACAAAAAAGTGGGTTTTAGGTTCTTAAGGTAGGGTTTAGGGTTAGGGGTTTAGGGTGTGGAGTAGAAGCCAGAAAGCTGAAAGATCATTGCCCTGAGACCCTCAGGGTAACATATGGGTAGTTGTCAAAATTTTGGGGTTTAGGGTTTAGGGTTTAGGGTTTTAGGGTTTAGGGTTTAGGTGCCGTATTATATCAAGGACTCAGAAAGGGACCATAATTTTGACAACCACCCATATAGGGAACCCCAACACGTCGTCCTTAACCCATCTTGCAACCTTCTTGAGGGCACTGTAAGAGAATCTTCGTGTGCGCTATAAGGGTTCATGTCAGAAAAGGGGGCATCAATAATTATAGTACTCCTGGGAATACTAGCGGCCGCTTTTTTATGTCCTTATGGCGAAATCTGGATTTCCCCGTAATTGAGCCGAATTTCGGTTTTAGAAAGTTTTTAGCGGTGTTAGTAAAGCGGCCATATTTTC